GCCGGTTTGCTTTTATGTGGCAAGCACAATAACCAACCGAGCTTGGTACAAATTGCTAGAACGGTTAGCGAGATACATATATGTGATCATAAGTGGGCGGTGGCCACGCCCATTTTCCAAAATTTTATCATAAACGTATTTCTTGGTAAAGAATTGTTGCAAGCATCAATTTTCGGATTCGCTTGAAAATCGTTACTCAGGGGTTTTAGGGGTCGCTGAATCCCAATTTGATGTCAGTTTTCAAAAATTCAAGAGAAGGGACAAAATTATTTTAACGGTTTGGATCAACCCCACTCCTGATGGAGGTATGCTTTACTCTATCCCGTGTAGAAGTTTCCATATTATGACTAAAATATGTCAATTTCTACACGGGATATTAAGGGAAAATATCGATATTAAATTCTATTTCAACATAAAAACTCTTAAAGAAATTTAAGCTTAAGTTCCATGCAGAGTAATTGGATCTTGTGTGTGGTTCAGCGAACCCTAAAACCCCTGAGTAACGATTTTCAAGCGAATCCGACGAATTTTACAAAAAGTGTCCGCCATATTGGATCCGCCATTTTGAATTTTCGAAAACTGACATCAAATTCGTAATCGGTGACTCCCTAAACCCCTGAGTAACGATTTTCAAGCGAATCCGATGAATTTTACAAAAATGTGTCCGCCATATTGGATCCGCCATTTTGAATTTTGAAAAAATAATATCATATTCGTAATTAGCGACCGCGAAAACCCCCGAGTAACGAGTTTCAAGCGAATCCGATAAATTTTTCCAAAACGTGTCCGCCGTATTTGTTTTCTGGGGTTATATCAAAACCCTGAACTGATGGGGTTAAATGGACCTCGGATTCGGATTCAGCGACCCCAAAAACATAAACTACACATAGTGAGACCTTTGGGTCAGAACACAAATTTTTTTTTGTGTGGCTGTGTTATTTTTGTAAATTTCTGGAAACCGATTGAAACCTGTGATTGAAATGGTTTCGGTATCGTTCCTTTTCAGGTTAAGATAACGGTTACTGTTTCGGTTTCGGTTTTGAAAAACGAAACGGGTTTAAACGGTTACGGTTTCGGTTTGGGTTTCGGTTTCATTCCTTGATAAAAATTTAAGGTTACCGTTAATTTCTTCATGATCCAATGATCGGATCATATTAGTAAGAGACTAACTGTGAGGTACTACCTTTCCTTAAAAAAAATATATTATAACAATCAGTTAACGTGATTCAAAGTTATGCATAGTATT